CGTACGCGCGCGCGGATAGCCGGTAGTTGTTACTGGTACACGGAGCTACGTCACGTCCGCATTTGCGTTAATCTACCCCGTCGAGAGCGACTTGGTCGAAACATTTTAGTGGACGGAATGTCGCTGTGTTTCGCTACGAGGCGCGTCGTCGCGTCAATGTGCGAGTATAGCTCATGACATACACCAAAACGTATGCAAATTGACCAATCACAGCCGATTATTTTTGGACCGTGAGGAAAAGAATTATTTTTGGACCGCATAGGACAGCATAATCGACTGTGGTTAGTCAGTTTATTTATTGCTTACGTTTTTGTGCGTATCATATACCTAACTCCGACTCGGTCAGAATTCTCCGCTCGATCGGGTTGAAATTTTCATGAGGCACACGGGAGTCTCGCAAGCGCTAATTGCGCGCGGGTTGCTCGCAGAAAGAAAAAAAAAAAAAAAAAGAAGACTCCTCGTATCTCACTTTTGCGTTCCGCGTGCGTAGTCCGGACGCGGCAACGCGCCTGGAAACTGGGTTGCATCGGAACGGCTTTCCGCAAGAGACGGAAGAGAGCCGCAGCGATTTATCAAAAAATCGATATCAGAGGCAGGTATCGAGTCGGCGGAGCGGCGCGACACGACGCCTCCTGCTTCTCGCTCTATAAAAAGAGAGAAATACCGGTGCACGCGGGCACGCACGCACGCACGTACGCACACATATACACGTTCAGGTAAAAACACGACGAAGAGCGCATCCAAGGTACATGTACGAAGGCGCATTTAACTTCGTGCTCTCGTCACCGAGGCATTTTCCGCTCTGAAAATAAAGCGGGAGATTAGATTATTCGCGTTCGATAGTTTTCCACGAAAGCGCGGTTACGCCTCGCGAGGATCGACCGTGTTATGTAAATAGAAAAGAAAGCACCGCAGCGATCGAAAGCACAGCAGCCGTAAAAAATAGCGTTGGCTTTCATTCGCGTGGTAGTCGTCCATTATTCCCTACGGTTAACGTTGCGATCGCGCATTCTCTTTCTTTCATTCCTAACGTAAGTCTAACGTAGTTTATAATCCCCGTATCCCTATAAATTACGCGTAACACATTCAAATTTTTATTAGAAGAGGTTAATCTGATTCTTGTAAATAAAAGTAATGGGAAACCAATGCCAGCTTGATTTCTCATTATTCACTCTGACGTTAAATCAAAGTGAATTATCGGTAGATTACAAAAGCACCGGGAAAACGGCAAGTTAATAATGAGATTCATATATCTCTTCTAACGCGTTAAAAGCCATCCGCGCTATCCCGCGATCAGATTCGACCTCGTTGCGATACACTCGGCAGTTAATATTAATGCATCGCGTCACCTTGATCTTTTTTCACTCGCAACGCGCGCGTCCCGTGCTGTGTGTCGTGTGTAAACATTCTCCTCGAACTTAGCTTCCATCTCCTGACACACGTGGTGTTCTAAATAGCGATGGGGATGGTCGGAAGAGGGAGATGAGAGCGCAATATTGTAGAGCGCGGCAAATGGATAAACCGTTCAATTAACGGTGTCGTATAACAGTCTCTGATTGAGTTACCCGATCTTATTTTGAAAGATGAACTACTCGCATGCGAGACACAACAGCGAACTTCTCGGAATTTCTCGGCAAAATATAATATTTCCGACCTGTCTCCGCGCGCGGGGAATACCGTAAAGCTGCGTTCGGAAACCATCACACTGAGGGTGGAGCAGCATTTAATTAACCAATCATGATAAAGAAACCTTTGTTATTTTCGTCGTGATTGATCAATTAAATGTTGCTCTATCTTCGTTAGTACGGTGTTTCCGCACGCAGCCTAAAGCCTGTGTCCGGACTTCGGATTAGAATTGAGATTAAATTGATATTTGGCGATTAGAGCAAAGTTTATTAACTCAAGTTTAGCGAACTTTGTTCTGATTCTCCAAATCTCAATCCAATCTCCCCTGTAGTCTGATACGGGCATGAGCTGTACAAAACGTTAAATCGCGCGACACCCCATGTTAAAAGTCCCTTGTGCAAGGCGCGGTCAGTCCCACCATTAATTTATTAATATATGCCGAAGACGGGTACACGTTCTCGCACGCTCAAAGCGTACGCCATGACGTAACTGTAAACACAACGCCCGGCTGAATTGATAAAGTCGCTCGATCGAGGGCCGTCTATGGGACGCGTGCTCTAAACGTGGTCAAAGGTCAGTGATACATGGATTATCGATTATCCCAAGTCAGATTAATCTTGTAAAAGAGATAGGATCGTCGCTGCCCGGCTAGAACGAAAAACACATAGACTAATAGAAAATTATAGTATTTCTAATTCTATAGCAGCAGCAACATGCAAGGTTATTATCACTGACACTGTAGTAACATTTACTAGAAAAATGATATCCCCGACTATTTTTGTGATTAAAATAAAAAAAGGATATGTTTGGCGCCGAAAATAACTATAACTTTTATCTAGATGTGTAATCTTACTTTCAGACACAAACGTGCGCGAAACAAGCAAGTAAACAACTATCGCAAACTTATATGTATATTCGGAAAGAAAAAAAAAATGACAAGACTCGATACACTCGGGTCGGGATTCTCCGGAAATGACCGATCCGTCGCGACGCGTTTTGCACGAACGACGTGTCGCGGCCGGAAATTCTACTTTCCTGCGCTATTGCTCCGGCATTTATTTCGCGCGATCGAGAACTCTGACGCATTATCGAGCGGCGTTGAGGGCCGCTTCAACGACACTCGTCGGCCTTAACGTTTTGTAGCATTTAACCGGCTCGATTCGCGATAGTGACTCAGCTCTGTATTCGGCGTCGTGACGAAATCGCTCGTAATCGGCAAAGAGCGACTGCCAACGCTCAGCGTAATAAAAGAGCGATTGAACGGACAGTTGGCGCATATGTTAGCTCATTAAATCGCTAAGTAGTTCGTTTCTCGGACGATATCTTCTATGCGTGCGTACGTGCGTGCGTACAGTCGGGTACACATTTTGTAGCGTAAACAAAAGTTCACCGCAACTACACCGAGAGAAAGAAGCCCAGAATTTCTGGATCGAAGAACCAAATTACGATTCATAAAAAGCAGGAACCCCGTTTTCTTCAACCAAAACGCATTCGTTTCGTCCATTGTTACGTTAATTCAATCCTTTTTTTTCCATGCACGATTGCATTACTGCAACTAATTAAATAACCGGTCCGAAATGTTTCAGTAACTACCACTGGTCGTATAGGAAGGAGAGAGAGAGAGACACTTCGTCCTCTCTCGATAAGTTAACGTCATTACGTGTACTCCCGGAATAGCGTCCGCCGCGTAAACGACACAACGTTTATGTACGCTTTTTCCTCCCCTGTATCCGCACGAATGCACGCACGCTTACTCACTCACGCATGCACGCACAGGCTTCACTTCCGCCGAGTGCGTTAACGCGATGCGACACGGCACTCGGAAAAGCTACGTGCGAATCGACGCGGCTGAGGTCGTCGGAAGTGGCCGGTAAAATCGGGGAAACTCGGCTGCTTCCGCGAGGTCATAACCTGGCGTGTCCTGAGCGCCGTAATTATTCCTTGCCGAGTGTCCCGACACAAGGACGCGCCGAGATCACCGTGAACGCTATATATCGCACTTGGAACTGGAGTTCGGTCCAGTTCGCGAGACTTATCCGCACGACTCGGTGGTGGTAATGGTCCTTGAATGATGATCCTTACATAACCGAGCTAGCCTGGTCTAATGGCTCACGCGTCCGACACGCTCACATCGCGCGTCTACATCGACGGAAACCTTCGAAGGGAAGGAGCGAAGAGAAGGAGGAGCGAAGAGGAAGATCACCGACTTCCAGTTATTCAATCCTACGAGCAACGTCCGGCGGAATCCCGTTTAGCTGCGCGCACGACGTGTTTTCACACCGCGGTACACGAGCCTCGGTGAGGTCGCGAGTAAGAGAGCAGCAGGTACGAGGACGAGTTTATCTAGCGCTCGCCGATCGAAGAGCGCGGGATCGCTTGATTCGCCCTCCACGCCCATTGACATCAATTTAAAATTAAATCAACACGCTGGGCAGCGAGCTTACCGCGAACTGCTTGTCGAGAGATATCCGTCGTCGTCGTCTCGCACACAGGAGCGTGTCCGACGCGTTTCCACGCGAACTTCGCTCGAGAAGTTAAAAAACGCAAATCCGCGCCAGGCTCCTCGCCGATACGCGGCCGAGCGGTTAGTTACGCTCGATGTACGCTTCGCGGCAGCGTTCAATGGAAGCGCCGGGAATTGGGTCACCGGCGGCAGATAGGTCGTCTTGACAGGTGAACAAAACCGCTGGCGGGGAACGGAGGGGCGGCCGGGCGATCGGACTACGCGGCAAGGGGAGGGGGAATGGGCATACACACACACCGTGGCGGAAATTAAAGTTGACCGATGGGTGAAAAAAACGACGGGGGCAGGTCGGCGAGTCGAAGCGTCGATCGAAAAGCGCGAGAGGGCCGAGAGACCGACGCCCTGGGCGGCGAGACTCGCGAGGGTGCCCGCTCGCAACGATAACGCGGGTGCGGCACCGTGCGAGATAAGGGGGACTGCGGGCTGCGACGACAGCCGAGCACGGCAAATCATATATTCGTATGCACAGAGAGCGCGGGACACGTTTGCCGACGACAACGGCAGCGGCGCCAATCGATGCCGGCGGAGCCCTAACGCGGACCTCGGCGAGGCGACACGACGACGACGCCGCGCGCGTCGCGGATCTGTGCGGGCGCGATCGTTACTGGCGTGACGACACGCTCGGTCGTCGCGACCGAGGTGCATCGCCTCCGACAGTTTCGTCGGCCGGAGCGACTCCGTCGTCGCGTACTGGAAGAGGGAAGCTAAGGTGGCGCACGCCATTTTTACCACGACACATATCCACCCGTCACGGCAGTAGCGGCGGCGACGGTGGCGGCGATCTCTCTCTCTCTCCGGCTCGAAATGCTCGCGGTTTTTCACTTGGGAACGACACTTGGCGGGTACTTACCCTCACGTAAGGACACCCCGCGGCTCACCGTCCTGCCTCGGCAACTCGCATAAAAGTCTCTCGCCCGGTATACACCAAAAAACCCCACCAATAACGATCCAACACCGAGTCCGACCGTCCGTCCACACACTCGACCGGCGCGCAACCGACTGAGCGCGCACGGCGCCGACCTACGCCGCCGCGGCTTAGTCCCTTCTGCGTGCGGCAAGCGCCGCCACGGCGAGCCGACGCGGAAAATCGGGGAAAAGCGACGGGCGCGTGCGACGATTTCGCTCGGAATTGCGAGTGCGATCTGTGAAAATGGGAGATTCACGCTGGCCTCGTGGTGGAAAAGCGTCGCGACGCACCCGCGGATGCGTCCCGGTCGCAAGCGAGATCGCTTGCTGTCGTACTTCATCCGCGGAATGCCGAAGACAAATAGCCTCGATTCCGATGGCGATTTTCAATGAAGACCGACAAATTTTTGCGCTATGTATATATACGCACTATGATTCAAGATCTTGTTTAATGATTTTTTTCGGTAGAGCTATCGTCGTAAAGAAAAAAACTTGAGCGAAAATTGTAGCGATACTTCGTTCAGTAACGAGGACAGTGTTACTTCATTGTGTGTATTTATGTATGAGTAGTTATGCGCAATTAAAATATATTTAATTCGAAGTAGCAGCCGTAGTGCAAGATCGCACTCCATCGAACGATTGCATTCTTATCTGTACTGTACCTGCCTTACTCCAGTCGGCGGCGTAGGAATACAAGATAGACGCTTGTGACATCATCAGTCCTGTTTACCCATATTCTGGACCGGGGCACGCCCCATCCTCCGTGCAGTTCGTTACCACCTGTAATTTTTACCCTCGTTATCGCACGGGTCGCGTAACGTGCGACACTTGTCGCGATTGTGCGTGCACACGCGTGATACGGCGCGAAGGTCCGCGGCGTAACCGTGTAAGAATCGCGTTCCAGTTTCGCTTACTCCGATTTCGAATGTCACGCGCGCGATGACGCAACCAATCGTGCGTCACCTGCGACGATAGTTTCCGTAGAGTGGACATTGGAGAACAGCGTCAGGGACAACGCTAGGGAGTAATGTGCAATTCACGTCACCAATCAGGCTCTCGTCTGTCTGGGAACTAAGATGCATAACGAGAGTCTATTGGCTGTCGCTTTCTGCATACAAAAACCACCTGCTAGTGGCTGCTAAAGCTATGCTCGAGCCTGAAAATGTCTCACGTTCATCGATAAATTGTTGAACCGATAGAACTGTTGAATTTAAATATTTTTCTCGAAGAGTACCAATTTGAAGTTTACCTGTGAGAAAAACTTGGAACGCAGAAATAAAACTCTGGAGGATTTAGAAATAAGTGTGACAGGCGTTTATAAAGTTCATATCGTATGTACATTTCTTATTTCGCCTACGGTGAATAAAATACACATAGAGTGCAACGTAACATATAAATAAACAATCTTCGTGTTGTTTCTGTGGAATGCTTGTACTGTCTCTTTTTACTTAAAATTATCAACAGCCTCCTCGATAATTTCATTAAGTTTCTGATTTTGCCAGTCAAGGGCAATGTTATCGAGATGGTTATCGAAATCAATCAGATTCTTATATCGCTTTTCGTCCAGTAATACATGCATCATGTCTGTATGTGTGACACCTCCTTCATAAATTATACTGTAACAAAATAAATAACATGTAGTATCCTAGTAAGACTCCATAGGCATTTCTAAGACTTATTACTATAGTAAAATTCTAATAATTTTAGAGTTCTCTTAAAATAGGATCTTTTCTTAAGAATAGAATCTATTCCTAAAATGTTGAAGATATAATATAATAAAATAATAAGTAAATAAAAATAATTACTTTGCCTTATCCTTTGGTTTCCACTTTCCATCTGCGGACTGTGAGATTCTCAATGGACTAGATTGCATAGCTAGAGTAAATTCGCGATTATCCACCTACCAACAACAACAAGAAATATAATACTTAACATATATAGTGATAGATGTCAAGTATATTAATATGATATTCGATAAACTTACAACAACGAGTAGTGCATTATTAAAGTTCTCTGCGATCTTGTCCGCTATTCTGTGAGCTGGTCTGTCTGTACTATATAAAATAAGAGGAGAAATTAATGCTAACGCAATATAGACTAAAGAATATTAGTAGTATAATATTAGTACCTTAAATCGTTTATGTTCTCATTGGCTAGATAATAACCTGCTAGTATAAGGCCTTTACTTGCAGCTAACTGGTCTACCTAAAATATCAAGTGGTATTAATGTTAAAGATGTGATATTATTATTATTGCTATTATTGTAATATTTTAAACCAAATATTTGGAAACTTACAAAATAGTTAAAATATCCATGCTATAGGTTAGGACATTCGCACGTTCATAACACAGATTTTTTTTTTACTTTAGACGTATCAAATTGCACGAACTTTAGGAGACACGATGATTTGTACAATTTGATGTGATATTACACTACGACTATATAATGTTCTTCAAATATTTACCAAGGTAAGCGCTATCTCCGCCATTGGGGAAACATGTAGACATACGTGGAATAAAGGTATCGCGTCTTCGATATACAGATCTGCCCTGCCGTCTTTGGTCTTCTGTTTGCCGAGCAGTAAGCCATTTATTGCACAATGTGGGTACTTTGCTGCGTGTAAAATAATCTTGCAGTACGCGCGAGGGGAAAAGAAAACATTCGCCATTGTCAAATGTGCACTGTAAACGCAAGCAGACGCGAAGGAACCGTACAGGTTAGCGTTGCCAACAGCGTAACTTTCAACTCTGAAGGTGGCGAACATGAGCTCTTCGCAGTGGCGGGACTCTAGAAATAGGGTCTTCTCCCTATGTATGTTGATAAACGGAAATCTTACGATAAAAATATTTATTTACTCGCTCGGAATTCAAAGTAAGATAAGAGCCTTGCGGCAAGATAATAACTGTTGTATCTAACGATAGACATCAGTATATTAAACTTCGAATTTTGAACCTGTCGCTAAGTATGTACAACAACTGTCATATATTTATAGATTAGGTCACTCTGAACGAAAAAGTCCATTACCATTTGCAAGTAATATGCAAATTGTAGATTATTAATTAAAAAAAAACTTCTACATGGCCATTTTTAATAATTAACAGCTCGATATTTTGCGTATTGTTTGCAAAATGATAGAGGACTTTTTTGTTCACCTTAATTCGTTCTATATCCTCATTAGTGTGTCCATGTTGATTTGGTATATCTTGTATATATATACAAGGTGTTTCAGGATCATGGGACAAATTTCAGAGGGTGGTAGGTCTCATCAAGAGAATCAACTTTTGTCAAGTAATCCATGTCCTTCAACTTGTTCTTGCTCGGATCGCCTGTGAGGTAGGCAACTGGTCGTACGATAGCAGTGCGCGTGGCGTAACGATTGGCAATACCAATCTGTGTCCTTTGATTTTCTTTTTGATTTTTTCCTATTTTATTTAGAAATTCAATGTTGCACAGATGTAGTGAATATAATCAAATGCAAGACAGGAACTCTGAACACTTTCTGTAATAAAATATGTAAATAAAATTTAAGAAAACAACAAATAAATAAATATAATTTCGCAGTTTCGATAATTATGTTAAATTTACAATAATATACTTTTAAACGCAATTATAAAAATTATGATATGTAAAAAAACAATGTACACTCCAATTTAAATTATCTTATCTATAAAATTCACAAAATCAGAAAAGTGTTAAAATAAGAGACATATTTATAGATACAGGATACACATTTCAAACAATATAAAACAAAGTCAGTAGCATTCGTGAATCTTTCTGCGCATTATTTTTCCGTATAAATCATTTTCCATTAAAGCTTCTCCATTATGCATTTTCTCATTATGCACTCAGTAATTGCTAATTTATTTTCAAATAACAGTGTTGCCGCGAGAAAGACAAAAACATATACATTATAGCCAAAATACTACAATCTCTTTCCTTTCAGCCCACTGGGCTAGCACAATTTATGCCAACCTCCCTCTTACCCTTCGATCACGAAGATAAACTCAATTACGTGAACGGCGTCACACAAAAGAAGGGCTCCGCGAAAAAGCGTTAATATCGCGTCAAGCGGCAATTAACGTCACTACGCGATTATATCCTTCCCGCGAAAGGGAAGAAAGGGGTGTGATTTTAAAAAAGATTACGGATCGCCGTCATCGTCGTCGTCATCGCCACCGTCCTCGCTGTCGCCGTGACCGTCGCCGGTCATCGCCGCCATCCTCGTTCATTGTGATTTTAATAAGCCTTATGCAAATTACAAATGAAATTGTCAGAGGCAGGCCCGCGGTCCATTCTTCGTCGCTGATGGGGACAATTAGAGAAGCTTTGTCCGGCGACCGCGCGCTGTCCGGCCGACCGGCCGACCGACAACTTGAGTTCCAATGAGAGAGAGAGAGAGAGAGAGAGAGGGAGGGAGAGAGGAGGAACGGACCACCCGCCAACCCCTGATGTTTGTATCCGCTCCCCGGAACGTTCACTTCCGACTCTCGGAATCGCGCGCCGCCGTGTTCTATTGTGCTCGGCCGCCGTCGTCGTCGCCGCCGCCGCTGCGTCGCCACCCTCCACGATACTCGCGAATCGTCGATACAATTAACACTTTGCCGGCCTTACGGTACAGCGAAATACTCGTAGTTGCTCTTAGTGGCTTTCGCTTGTGAGAGAAAAGACGTGGTACGACGGAAACTTGAGGTACGGCTTTGCGTAAACGTCGTACATGTTAAATCGCATAATGTGTTATATAACGCATAACATCGATAATTAACTACAATTACGTAGTTATTAACGAAGATGCCGTACAACAGTTTTTCGATGTCGAATAGACATCGAGTGCGTTATCGAGGCCCGAAGGTTGAAGACGAATGCACCGAGCGCGAGACGTTTTTCCTTAGCCGCGAGGATCAAATTCGCCACGCGACGGTTGGCTTGATTCCGCAAGAAGGAAGACGTCAGAATCGCGGCGCGGAATTGTTCTGCCGTAACCTGCAAAGAACGAGAGAGAGAAGAGGGGTAGGAGGAGAGAGTAGGGGATACACATCTTCTGGAACGCCAGGGCCCAGGGACCAGGCCAGGGAGCGCGCCAATGGTGAGGGTACGGGGGCGAAAGGACGGGGTAGCAAGGGGGAACGGAGGTTGGAAATCGAACGGAATCACGGAGGCTGGAGGTCGGTGGTACGGGGGCGGAGATAAGTTTTTACGGTAGGGTTACTAACTTACGGACTCGGCATTGTCGAGTTCCCGTCGACGGGAGGACAATGCGCCTTCGGAACACAATGCTTCACTCTGGAAATCTGAAGGCAGTCTTGACTACCAACCTGCAACCACCCATACCGCCTCCCTGTATGCCCCCCTCAGCCTCCTTTGGCCCTCTCTCTCTCTCTCTCCCTTCCTTCTTCTCCCCATCTGCGTCTACCAATACTCATTCCTTCGACACATACCTACCTACCACCCCTCTATTGCCCGCCGCGCCGTTACCCTGTTCTCCTCTCCTTGCCCCCGGTCGTTACTTTCTCATTCTTTCGCCCTTACCCGCTGCCCTTTCCTCTCGCCCCCAGCCTTCTTTCGCCGCGGCTTCCGTCGGTCTTCCTTGGTGAGCGACGATCTTCAAGTTCACGTCGATAAATCTGCGAACTTGACTTGAAACGCCTTCGACAAACGGACTGTTCGTAAAAAAAGTGGGGAAGGGAGGTGGAGGGTAGAGTTTGTAGAGGCATTCGTGTTAGAAATCACGTTGCATCTCTGTTCTCCATCACGCGAGTCCTTTGATATGACGCGTCTCGTACGCGCGCGTGCACACACGCACGTGCATTTCGTTTATTGCAACGTGAAATATAAGAGACGCGGAAGCAACGGTATGTGAGTATGGCGGTGAAGCCCGAAAGAGGATGGAATAAAATGGTAGCGGAGGGTAAGGAAGGGCCGACACGCGAGCGTATTTCAATCGCTCTTAGCTTTTCTCTTTAGCCCGACTTTGCCGTTTCTTTCCCTCACAAAAGCCACATTGTTTCGTCCACCGCTTTCGTATGGCGCTCCGACGTACTGAAACGCTTCTCTTTTCGTGAACACAGGAGGACACAGATCGAGCGTCGGCGATCAGACGCGTACGTAAACGTATCCGACGCGATGCACGCGCGGAAACGCTGCCGGCGCGCAATCCCGTCGAATGCGCTGTTCATTACAAAGGATCGCAGCTTTGTTCGGCATTTGTCGTTATACCTCTTCCCCCTCCCCTGATTCCGCTATTTCGCCAAATTCGACTCATTCTTCGCGATAACGAAGCGTTGCGCTTTCGGCAACGGGCGTAACAATAAAGATTAATCCCTCCGCGTTAAATTTTCACGAGACGAAAGTAACGTCGCGATAAATCGCAATCGTTCCTTTTTCAACGACAACTCGGAACATGCGGCCAATTTATAAGACATTTTAATTTCTGTACCGATTTCTCTCTCTTTCTCTCTCTTTCGATGCTTGTATTAGATCTCCCACAGAAATGTTCATCACTTTCCCTCAAAAGGTTTTCTTCTGCCCGAGAGAGAAAGAGAGATATAGCATCCCTCTTTTTCTCTCCCTTTCTACCGCCCCCACGAACTCCTTCCAGCGCTCCTCGCTCTCTTTCTGCCTTTCTTTCTGCCTGTCCCTCCTTTTTTGCGATGTAACTCGCTCTCTCTTTCTTAACTCTTTCATCCCCTCATCCGCCATCCTCCTCGCGACAACATTCTTTTCAGTATTCACTGTGCAGTTTCTTGTACCGATACTTCCTTCTTTCATCGTCGCGTTATTCAAGCTTTTGATGCCGCGGCGACAAAGCTCTTTACTTCTTTCCGCGAACGAATGAAAGCAAGGAACGTCGACGAGATATATATATATATATATATATATATATAATCTTTTCGTGAATACATGTGTGAGTGCAGAGTGTCGCACTCGCGCACATTTGTGATAATGCAGACCGGCGCGAACAGAGGATCGACTTCGAAGTTTCACGATATCGGACGTCACCATATACATTGAATATTTGTCCGACTGATAAGCAAAAAATGATGGTCGCTCGGCAATCGGACTCTTCCGATTAATGTTAATCGCATATTCCACGCGAAAACGTCCAGCAATGCGATGACTTTCAATGAAAAACTTCCAGCAATGCGATGACCTCGACAGTTGCATTTCACTACGACCTGCATTTACCTGCGATCTCTCACGTAAGCAAATACGAACGATTATCATTAATTAAATTTAGTGCCGCAGCGGGAGAAATATGGAGGCCCGAACGAGATGAACGCGATAAACTTCTTCCGCTCGCGCAAAAGGTCACGAATTACCCTTCGTTGAAAGGGTCAGGTCCTTCCTGGGGGAGTAACGACGTTAAAAAAGCCACTCGACCGAGTATGATGGACTGTTTCATCGTGGCACGAGTGAATATATGATAGATTTAACGTAAAGATTTAAGACCGATCTAATTTTGCAATAACGAGTAACCTTGTATATTTTGAATTTTCATATGTATCTCCCTCAAAAGTCCCATCTCATCTAAAAAAAAATAGGAAACTTAATCACTGTTAAAGGAATACGCAACATGCGCTAGGATCATGTTGGAAGCGGAAATATTGGGAAAAAGAGTCGGCCAGCTCGAGTTGCACCCTGGACGAGAGATATTTCCAGTTAAGAGGTTAATGGACGATGGTGACTAATTCGCGGGTGAAGACGCCACGGGGGCAAGAGGCGACGGCACGACGGCACGCGATATCGGAATATCGGAGTTCGAGAATGACGGATAATGC